GTTAATAATATTGTAATAGCTATGTATGGTGGTCGGTGGGTACTAGACTTATTAGGGGGATCACTATAAATTATATAAATGTCTAATCACTATGTTGTATACCTGAAACTAATATAAAGCAATATTGAACATCAACTGGAGTTGAAATATTACAAAAAAGAAAATTTTGTCTTTCTCTTTCAACAGTCTTGATTTGTCTAGGTTTGGATCTCGATTCCCCTTCCACCACCTGGAATTTTTTGAGTTTCTTTGATGAACAGAATATTATTCACCAAATTTGGGGAGTTCTTTGTCATTATTTTTTAAAATATTCTTTCTGCACTGTTTTCTCTTTTTATTTTGAACTTGCATTGTCCATATCTTGGTACTCTGCATTATGCTAGTGTTGTTGTCTGTGTAATGGTGTCCCAGAGAACTCTGAGACTCTGTTCAGTTTTCTTCATTTCTCTTTTTGTTTCTTAGGCTGTTCTCAGTTGACCTGTTTTCAAGTTCACTGATTCATTCTTCTTGTCTGTTCAGATCTGATATTGACCTCTAGTTTTTTTTTTTAAATTTAAATTTTTATAATTAAACTATGTTTTTCAACTTTAAAATTCCTTTTTGACATTTATGGTAAATTCTGTGTATTTATTGATAGTCCATTTGATGAGATATTAGTCTCATATTTTCCTTTAGTTCTTTTAAACATAGTTTCCTTTAGTTTTTTGGACATATTTAAAACTGTTGTCTAATAAGTAATGCCTGAGCTTCCTCAGGGACAGTTACTATTGATATATATGTATGTTTTTTGTATGTGCTATGCCTTTTTGTTTCTTTGCATGCCCTCATATTTTTTTTTTTGAAATTTTGACATTTGAAATAATCATGTGGCAGTTCTGGATATGAAATTCTCCCCATCCCAGGATTTGTGGTTGTTGTTTTTGTTCCTGCTGTTTGTTTCTTGACTTTTCTGAGCTAACTTCGTGAGGTCTGTATTCTTTTTCAAGTATGGGCATTGAAGTAAATCTGCTTGGTTACCTAATGATTAAAAAGATTTCCTTAAATGCTTGGAAATAGTAAGTTTGACATGCCTTTCACAATCAGATAGGCATTTTATAATTCTGCCTTCACCTTTACTTTCTGCTTGTGCAGACCATTAAGATTAACCAGAAGTGAGAGCTTAGTACCTCTTCTGGTATTTGCAGAGCTGGCATGTAGCCCTGGACATGTGCACAGCTTTATGTATGTGCATGGTCATCTAGATTCTCAGCAATATATTGGAGCTTTTTAAAGACTGGGTGGAGATTCGCAGAGTTTTCCTTTAAGTTTTTGGTTAGTCTATTTTTTGCGCCAACATTTAATCCACTGCTTCAGACAATAACATATTAAAAATTTACCTATAATTCTTTTCTAAAAATGCCCCTGGGGAAAAGATTTTCACACTTGGTTTACTTTGGGTCAGGTCAAATAAGGACAATTTTGAATATGGGTTCTTCCAGACAGTTCTGATAATGATATTTCTTATGGAACCAGGCTCTCCTTTGGAGACTGTCAGGCTTCGGTGTTGACCAGGATTGTAAACTGTTGGTTTTGAAGACTACCATAGATCTGGCAAGCAGCAGGTTGAATAGGACAAGTTAAAAGGCCACAAAGCTTACTGGTTTTACTGAGATTCAGCCGTTTCTCTTATATAAACACTTCCTGGATTGCTGTAAACCTGTTAATTTCCAGAGTTCTAAAAAGTTGATTTTTGACAAATTTGCTAAGTATTCTAATTGGTTTATGAAGGAGAGAATTTTCAGAGGTTATAACTTTGCCATGTTCTTGCCTTCACCCCTCTGCTTTGAATTCAACATCCAAAACATTATTTTATTTTATTTTTTTTTTTTTTTTTAAGTTTTTATTAAAGTATAGTCAGCATATAATAGTATATTAATTTCAGGTGTACAACATAGCAATTTGACATTTATACACTTTACAACATAGTCACCACACTAAGTTTAGTAACCATCATTGTGCAAAGTTATTACAATATCATTGACAATATTTCTGTGCTGCATACTACATCACAGTGACTTATTTATTTTATAACTTATTCCCCTTCACCTTTTTCACCAATCCCCCATTCCCCTTCCCTGTGGCAACTATCAGTTTGTTCTCTGTTTCTTTTTTTTTTTTTTTTTCTTTTTTTTCTTTTTTTTTTAATTTTTTTTTTTTTTTTTGCTTAAATTATTACAAAGAGTATTTCATATGTCTCCTTTTTTTTCCCCAGCCCTTGACAATCCCCTGGCTTCCCCTACCCCCCAGTGTCTTATGTCCATTGGTTATGCTTATATGCATGCATACAAGTCCTTTGGTTGATCTCTTACTCCCCCCCCTCCAGCCCCCCCACCCTCCCCGGCCTTCCTGCTGTAGTTTAACAGTCTGTTTGAGGCAACTCTGCCTCTGTATCTATTATTGTTCAAGAGTTTATAATGGTCTCTATTATCCATGAATGAGTGAGATCATGTGGCATTTTTCCTTCATTGACTGGCTTATTTCACTTAGCATAATGCTCTCCAGTTCCATCCATGCTGTTGCAAATGGTAAGAGTTCCTTCTTTTTTACAGCAGCATAGTATTCCATCGTGTAGATGTACCACAGTTTTCTAATCCATTCATCTACTGATGGGCACTTAGGCTGTTTCCAGATCTTAGCTATGGTGAATTGTGCTGCTATGAACATCTGGGTGCATATATCCTTTCTGATTGGTGTTTCTGGTTTCTTGGGATATATTCCTAGAAGTGGGATCACAGGGTCAAATGGGAGTTCCATTTCCAATTTTTTGAGGAACCTCCATATTGCCTTCCATAGTGGTTGCACCAGTCTGCATTCCCACCAGCAGTGCACAAGTGTTCCTTTTTCTCCACATCCTCTCCAGCACTTGTCGTTTGTTGATTTGTTGATGATGGCCATTCTGACAGGTGTGAGATGGTACCTCATTGTTGTTTTGATTTGCATCTCTCGGATGATTAGTGACTTTGAGCATGTTTTCATATGTCTCTTGGCTTTCTGAATGTCCTCTTTTGAAAGGTGTCTATTTAGGTCCTTTGCCCATTTTTTGATTGGATTGTTTATCTTCCTTTTGTTAAGTTGTATGAGTTCCCTATAAATGTTGGAGATTAGGCCCTTATCAGATATACTGTTGGCAAATATGTTCTCCCATGTAGTGGCCTTTCTTGTTGTTTTGTTGATGGTTTCTTTTGCTGTGCAGAAACTTTTTAATTTGATGTAGTCCCATTTGTTTATTTTCTCTTTAGTTTCCAATGCCCTAGGATCAGTATTGGTGAAGAAATTGCTTTGGCATAAGTCTGAAATTTTGTTGCCTTTGGATTCTTCTAGTATTTTTATGGTTTCCCGTCGTATATTTAAGTCCTTTATCCATTTTGAGTTTATTTTTGTGTATGGTGTAAGTTGGTGGTCTAGTTTCATTTTCTTGCATGTATCTGTCCAATTTTCCCAACACCATTTATTGAAGAGACTATCTTGACTCCATTGTATGTTCTTGCGCTCCTTTGTCAAATATTAATTGAGCGTATTGGTTGGGGCT